GTGCATGTGAACACATGGTGATAAGTCAGCATCTAATATTCATTAGTTTATTTTCTTCTCTTTTACAATCTAGAGATTCAGCCCTCAACCCTCACTTCAAATGGCATCTCCTACTAAAAGCATGTCCCAGAGGTGAGCCATAAGTACCATTCCCTCCCCTGACCTACACCAGTGTCTTTTTACTGTTTTTTTCCATGTTAGGAATTGAACTCAGGATCTCATGCATGCTCTACTTATGGCCTATACCTCTAACACCCATCTAAGCAACCACTCCACCATGTAGCTGTAGCTTCAGTCACAACTCTTTTTTAAAAACATCTTTAAGAAAACACATATTTTGGGGGGGCAAGGAGGGTTGGAGAGATGGCTGAGTGGTTAAGAGCACTGGCTTTTCCTTCAGAGGTCATGGGTGGTTTTGGTTTCTAGTACCCACAAAGCAGCTCACTGTTGCATGAGTTCTAATTGGTATTAAAATAAAAAACTGGAGCCAGATAACAGGGCAAATGCTGAAAAATCAGAGAGAGAAAGGAGCAAGCCACAACTAACTCTTACCTTGCTGTCTGCTCCCACCTTCTATCCCCCTCTCTGCCTTCTCTTCCTGTCTGTCTGTACAGATCTCCAGACCTCGATGGTTAACTAGTGACTAGCTCTGCCCTCTGATCTTCAGGCAAGCTTTGTTTGTCGAGTACAAACAAGATATCACCACAGCTCACACCCATCCTTAATTCCAGCCCCAGAAGATCTGATTGCCTCTTTTGGGTCTGTGGGCACCCGGTGTGCACGTGGTACAGCAGAACCGCATTTCTCATGGTTTCTGTTTCAGTTCCTTCTCCAGGTTCCTCGAGAGCCCCTATCCTGATTCTAACGTGTAAGCTGTAATAAGCCCTTTCCTCCCCAAGTTCCTTTTGGACATGGCTTTATCATGGCAGCAGAGAAGCATAACTATCAAAGGCAGATGGGTGGGAAGAATTGGTATGCAGATGAAATATTTGCTGTAATAAATTATAAAGAAATCTATTTTAACACAGTTCTTTGATAGTCATACAATTTTATCATTTATTAAAGATGAATGCAAATTAACATGCTAATGCTTGTTTATTTTTCATAAATAATTAAATCTTGGCTAAATATTTGATACTGCAGGACATAGAGCATCTTCAGCATTTTTCACAGTTAATTGATAATTTGATTTTATGGTCGTCCATGTTGAGGAAGCTACTTTGCATATACAGTACAAAATGGCAGAGGTATATTTGGGCTGTTCTTGAAATGGTTGTCAGTTCCCTGTTAATCACAAGCCAAAATTCATTTAGCAATTTTTATTAAACTCAAGTGAGCAATGCAAACAACCACTTTAAAATCAAACATCCTTATGCTCTCCAATCCAAAGATATGTTAATTTGATAGTCACATTTTGAGGAATGACTGCAACAAAATATAGAATGTCTTTGTTCTCTACAAATCGTTTTTTAAAATGAATTAGATTTATTCATTTTGTTTTTTAAAGTTTATATGTGAGTGTTTAGCCTGCACTGTATGTATGTGTATCACATTCATGCTTGGTACCTGTGGATTTCAGAAGAGGGCATCTAATCCCCTGAAACTAGACCTGGGTCCTCCATAAGAGCAACAAGAGCTCTTAGCCACTGAGTCGAACCATCTTTCTAGCCCTCGTTATGTCATTATGTTCTTCTTTTGTGATTTTTCGAGACAGGGTTTCTTTGTAGCTTTGGAGCCTGACCTGGAACTAGCTCTTGTAGACCAGGCTGGCCTCAAACTCACAGAGATCCGCTTGTCTCTGCCTCCCGAGTGCTAGGATTAAAGGTGTGTGCTACCGCCGCCCGGCTCTTGTTTTTGTTTTTCAAGACAGGGTTTCTCTGTGTAGGCATGGGTGTCCTGGAACTTACTCTGTAGACCAGGCTGACCTCAAACACACAGAGATCCTTTGGCCTCTGCCTTCCTGCTGGAATTCTAGGCATGCGCCAGCATGCCTGGCTCCATTATGTTCTTTGCAGAAAATATTATATGTACAGTAAAAACACTGTACTTTATAACTTACAGTAGTCTTGACTCTGAGCTGATGTTTCACAGTGTTCATTGGTGCTGTGTGGCTGGAGCATGCACAGTTGTGCAAAGTATGCCTGTTGTGTGTTTAGAACCAAGGCTGCAGCCAGAAAACCCTGGATTCATTATGCATTTGATTTTGGTTGATTCTTGGTCATCGTGGACCCAGAATCCTTTTATTGTTGCCATTTTTTTTAATGGCTCTCACGTTCAGTCAGATAACCCCATTTGAGGGTCGCACCCCACAGTTTAAGAAGTCTTTTGTGATCATGGTGTATAGGAAAGCCCAAGAACCACTGTTTCAAGAAAAACACAAAGATCCAATTAATATTTCACTTGTATGATCCTTTAGATATACAATAATGTTATTAGCAATCTAACATTTACTATATGGTATGGTACAAAATACAAGAAAAAAATTAAGATATTTACTCCGCTTGACAAAGATTTGATGTGTAACGCTAGCGGGTCTACTATTCACTTTGCATCTGAAGCAGAGGCAGTTTGACCTCAAACTCAAAGCAGTCCTCCTGCCCCTCAGTATACAAGTGTGCACCACTATGTCTAGCTTACGAGGAAATTTTTTTCTTCCTATTTTTTTCATGTGTGGGTTTGTATGTAAGTATGTGTGGGTGTTTATGTGGATGCATGACAAGGGGATGTTTCAATGTATGTTTTTTTTAAATATTTATTTATTTATTATGTATACAATATTCTGTCTGTGTGTGTGCCTGCAGGCCAGAAGAGGGCACCAGACCCCATTACAGATGGTTGTGAGCCACCATGTGGTTGCTGGGAATTGAACTCAGGACCTTTGGAAGAGCAGGCAATGCTCTTAACCTCTGAGCCATCTCTCCAGCCCCCAATGTATGTTTTTCTAAATGTAACTAAAGATTAGTGCTTAATATTTTGAAACTGTCTTTGAAACCATAATTAGTTGTAAATAATCTTGAATGTTGATGATGATTTTCTATGAATGCATTTAATGTAAAACGCATTGGTTTTGTAATTAAAGATTTTTTTAAAGATTTATTTATTTATTATGTATACAACATTCTGCCTCCATGTATGCCCGCATGCCAGAAGAGAGCACCAGATCTCATTACAGATGGTTGTGAGTCACCATGTGGTTGCTGGGAATTGAACTCAGGACCTCTGGAAGAGCAGTGAGTACTCTTAACCAATGAGCCATCTCTCCAGCCCGTAATTAAAGATTTTAAAAGAGTGGATTGAACATGGCATCCATACATTCTAATACTGCTGTCTGCATAGACTTTAGGCATAATTCCCTGCAGTGACATTTGTGAAAATATCATGTACTTTAAATAATGTATTTTAACTTTTATTTTATTTACATGTGTATTTGGGTCAGCACTCAGTGTGTGTGTGTGTGTGTGTGTGTGTGTGTGTGTGTGTGCGCATGCTATGGTGTGTCTGTGGAGGTATGAGAACTTGTGGGTATCTTTCGACTCCACCATATGAATCCCAGGGGTTGACCTCAGTCATTAGGCCTGGTGACTTGTGCCTTTACCCACTGAGTCATCTTGCTGAAAATAGTTGAACTGAATATACCAAGTCTGTTCAAGACAGCTCAGAAGAAGAGAACGGAATTAAAGAGAAGCTCAGGGTGGGAAAAGATGAGAATTGAACATGACAAAAAGAGGAGAAGTGGGTTCTATGAATCTTGAGTAAGTTCATAGCTGTGCTTGAGAGGAGTTGGAGAGACAGCTCAACAGTGAAGAGCCGTGGCTGCTCTTCTAGAAGGCCTGGGTTTGATTCCCACCCAGAGCCTACGTGGTGACTCACAAATGTCTGCAACTCAAATTCTAGGGGATCAGATGCCCGCCTCCTCTAGACTCTTCTGCACACACATCACATGACATATAGACATCAATATACATAAAATAAAAACAAAGATTTAAATCATGTGCCTTATAATACCACGATTTTAATATTTTCAATGGATGTTTACTTACTTATTGTGAGATGAGATCTCTCTTTGTAGCCCTGGTTAGCCAAGAACTCACTGTGTAGCCCAGGTTGGCTTCAAACACAAGGGCACTTCCTCCCTAGCCTCTTTTTACTGGCACATGTCTCCCTTCGTGAAAATGTATAATCTAATAAATTTAAATGAGTATGGGTGAATACTGAATTATTTTTTGGGAAAGAGGGAAGAGGAGAGAGGGCTTATTTTGGGTTACAGTTCTGGAAGACTTGAGCCCTTTATGGCAGGGAAATCGTGGCAGCAGGCATGAAAGGCATGGTGGCAGAAGCAAGAAGCTAGTCGGTTACATTTTCATCTTTATACAGGAAGGAGAGGCCTTGCTTGTTATTTAATCCTTAAAAATGGTTACTGATTATTCCGTGGGAAGCTTTTTTTATTTGTTTTTATGTTGGAAATTGAACCCATGGCTGGAGTCCTGAGCTCCATTTTCACCCAAGAAAAGATATTTCTTGTGGGCCTGGTGGCAGGCGCTTGTAATCTCAGCATTTGGGAGGTGGAGGAAGGAGGGTCAGGAGTCCAAGGACGTCATTGGTTAACACAAAGAATCAGACTGGTCTACACAGTGTACTCTAGGCCAGTCAGAGCTACATAGTGAGATCGTGTCTCAAACAAGAAGATACTTCCTAGATGTTAATTTTGGTCTAAATTTTGTCATTTTATTAAAAGTGGGGAAAGAATGAGTTTTTGGTATGAATATGAAACCCACCCTAAATATTTAAATATAAAAACCATGAAAATCTGATTCTTAGTAAAGTAGTATTTTGCCTGGTGCCTCAGAAAAGTCCACTATGGCGTGTGGAGGTAAGAGCAAATGCCTTTGGAACAGAACACAAGGCATTTCATAACTGAAAGAATGGAAATGTTCTAGATTCTAATAGAATTTAATCTTCATTCTAGAGTGTCACAGTAGGGCATGAGCTCAGAGAGGCAGGAGGGGTGTTTTCTTTAGTTAATCAGTGCCTGGTACATGAAAGATTTATGGTAAGTACATGGTACCATTTTCATTGTTTTAGATCTACATAACAATTAAATATGTACCCTAAATACTCTATCCCATTTTTCCTATCTAGGTAAGACTTGTACATATTTCAGGAGTTTTTTGAAAGGTACAACTAAAAAGAACAGAAAAATTATTTGTGTTTTGCTGCATGAAATAGCTTCTCTTGCCGGCCAGTGGTGGCACACGCCTTTAATTCCAGGATTTGGGAGGTGGAGGCAGGCAGATCTCTGTGAGTTCGAGGCCAGCCTGGCCTACAAGAACTAGTTCCAGGACAGGCACCAATAACTACAGAGAAACCCTGTCTCAAAAATAAAAAAAAAAAAGCTACTCTTAAGAAATATTATTTTTCTCTAGTTGT